CAGGAGTAGAAAGCCTCATCTTTCTCCAGCAGAGCAGTTGGTGGTTTCAAACAGCTGACCTTGCAGTTGCCAGCGCATTGCATAATTACTCCACCTGGAGGGCTCCTAATAAAACCTATACTAAGGCCTTAATGAATGTTTATTCTTTAGCATTGACCTTTTGTTTAATTTTAATTTTTTTAATCATTTTATTGGGGGCTCATACAGCTCTTATCACAATCCATACATCCACCCATTGTGTCAAGCACATTTGTACATATGTTGCCATCGTCATTTTCAAAACATTTGCTTTCTACTTGAGCCCTTGGTTGTCAGCTCATTTTTCCCCTCCCTTCCCGTTCCACCGGCCCTCCAAGCATTGACATTTTAAATCACATTTAAAGCTATAATCCTGCAACAAATGTACAAATGTGATGACACAATGGATGGATGGATTGTGGTAAGAGCTGTATGAACCCCCAATAAAATGATTATAAATAAAGCTATATAATCCCCTCCAGTATTTTTCCCCAACCCTAACAAATTATGCATTTGATTTGTATCTAAAGCATTAATTATTAAATTTTAATGTTAATATGAACCACCTGAAGAGTTTGTTAAAATACAGTTAACCCTTAAACCATATGAGTTTAAACTGCACAGGTCCACTTGTAGTGGATTTTCTTTAATAGATATATTAGGAAAAAAATTTTTTTGAGATTTGTGACAGTTTAAAAATGTTTGAAAAAAATTAATAGTTAAGTATATCATGAACACATAAAATATATGAAGATATTAGTCTTATCATTTGCTGCTGTAAAATATGCACATTTATTATAAAAAATTAAAAGTTATCAAAACAGAAATTAATTGCCCATTTAAAGTTGAGCAAAATGTATATGAACATAAAGAAGTCATATTCAATCATAACTCCACAAAATTATTTTTGGTACATACCATATTACTGTAATAATTTCATAGCCGCCTCCTGTTCACTATTGTGGTGAGCTCACATGTTGCAAGTGTCTGTGTAAAATGCCATGTGGTGCTAGTCACCTCTGGGTGAGTAAATAAATTGCATATGGCATAGCTTTTGGGTCTCGTGTTTAGTGTAATACCATAAACCTTGAATAATGCCACAGGACCCAAATAAAGTGCCACTAGTGATGCTGGAATTGCTTTCAAGAAACAGAGAAATTACAACATTATAAGAAAAAGTTGAATTCCTTGATTTATACCGAAATTCAGGTCTGTTGCCCACCATTTCAAGATAAATAAATCTAGCCTTTTTTAAAAAGAAAAGGAAATTCATGAGGCCATCACAGACGTGAAAACTTTATGCTGTTTGTGAAGTACCTTTTTACCTCCTATTAAAAATGCAGCTTTTATATAGATTAAGGTGTCCAGATGTCCCCCTTTTGACGGGACAGTCCCGATTTTTAACAATTTTTCCCACATCCTGCAGCGTTTTTAAAAAGTCCTGATTTTTGGAAAGAATGCACAACAAGCTAGGGTATACGATTTTCGGCTGCCATGTGGCTATTTCGCCAGGATATGTGTTTCATCAATGGTGTCCCGCTTTTGTCCCGCTTTACCAATGTTAAAATCTGGTCACCTTAATATAGGTACAGAATTTCTTATTTAAGGCATAGGAAAGACATACCAATAAACTCTAATACGATTTGAGAAAAAGTGAAGTCATTATATAAAAAGGAAAAGGAAGGTAAAGGATCTAAAGCGGGAAAATTTAATACCAGCCAAGGGTGGCTTGATAGTTTCAGAAAGAGATTTGGCTTTAAAAATGTCAAGATAACAGGAAGAAAAATGCCAACCAAGAAGCAGCAGGTGAGTTCCCAGATGTCCTTAAGAAAATCATTAACAAAAAGGTAATCTGCCTGAGCAGGATTTTTAACTTAGACAAAAGTGCCGTATTCTGGGAAAATAAAAATGCCACAAAGCACATTTCTTAGGAAGAGAAGAGAGCACTTGGCGTAAGGGCAGCAAGGGAGAACAACTAACTCCACTGTGCTGTGCAAATGCAGCTGAGTTATGAGCGGGACTGTCATGATCGGCACAGCTGCTGGGTGCCTTGACAAGAGAGGATAAATTCCAGCTGGACTGGTATCTTCAGTGTTTTGTCCCTGAAGTCAGGAAGTACCTTACTAGTAACGGATTAACATTTAGAGTTTGCTTGATATTGGAAAAATGCCCCTGGCCACCCAGAACCCCCTGAATGCAACATGGAAAGTGTCAAAGTGGTCTACTGCCCCCAAACACACTGTCTCTAAGTTAGCCTCTAGATCTAGGTTCAAAAGGCCCTTTAAGGCTCAATATACATACACTGTACTCCATGGGAAGGATTGTCGTTGCTATAGAAGAGAGCATCATGTGGTGCCCGGCTATCGAAAGATATAGCGTCTGGGGTCTGGAAGGCTTGAAGATAAACAAGCAGCCATCTAGGTAAGAAGCAACAAAGCCCACATGGAAGAAACACACCGGCCTGTGTGATCATGAAGTGTCGATGGGATCAG